CGATTAATTTCTCTAGAATTAATTTTACTATTGAGTTTTGGTTCTATTGGAACACAAATCCAACGACGGACTATTGTTTTTTTGATCAATATTTGGCGAGTGCTAGTGATCAATGTTTGTTCCTCAACATCCGTAACAAACTTTTATATTTTGGTTTTTTTAATGACGATACTATGACTACTACAGTTTTATCATTAAACACATGGTATCATGCTGCTTTTGTCTACGACTATATTGCACGCACACGTACTATTTACTTGAACGGATATCAAGATGGTTTTGGTTCAGCGGGTGTTCTGGCAACGTCGGGCTCGAGTGTAACGATCGGTGGTGGCCCAATTGGCGGAAGTGCAGCGGCACAAGTTTATTTCGGCGGCTATATAGATCATCTGTCATACAGTACTCGTGCAAAATCGTCATGTGAAATTCTGAATGACGCAACGCTGGCCGGGTACTTTCCATTTGACGGTTCGCTCAATGATTCAGGACCTAATTTTCTCGTTGGAACATCAACAGGAGCGTTTTTCATATCGGGAAAAGTAAATCAAGCACTTCAGCTAAACTCAACAACACCATGTTATTTTCAATTGAAAACTACCCTGGCATTAGGTACTTCTAATCAAGCATTCACAATTGCTTTATGGATTATGCCAACTACATTAAGCGGTGTGCTTGTGTATGTATCATCACTTTCAACAGGTTAGTAGTAACATGTATAGCGAGAGAGACATACGGCTATTTATCTGTCTTCGTGTCTTTAGGTGCAGGATGGTGTTTTCCATTCTTGGGATTTTCGTCGTCAGGTGCCATTATTGCTCAAGTAACTAATTCATCAAACACAGTGACATCGGTGAATGGCCCTATTATACAGACAGGTCCATTTTGGACACATATCGTTCAGACATTTAGTAGCACAAACGGTACAAGACTCTATGTAGATGGTTCCGTTCGTGCATCATCAAATGGTTCAACTGGCGGGAGTTACTCGGCAAGCGGCGTGCAAAATTATGTAACTTTAGGGTCAAACCAAGGTCAAAGCTGCAGCACTACAGGAGATATTGTTCTCGGACAATACACAGGAGCTGTCGATGAACTCCGAGTGTACAGTAGGGAACTGTCGTCAACAGAAATATGCAAACTGTATGCTGGGTAATATAATACTTCTTTTTGTAAAGACGAAAGTTCTATTATTCTACTTTAAACAGGCTCGTTGTCTGACAGAGGAAGACATTTAATGTCTAAAGTCACAGCATTTGTCTTTTTTTCAAGTAATTTTGCATCAACTAAGAAACATGATTTCCTTTCTCGCACTTTTTAACATATAAATATGACTTTAATCAAACACGAAATTGATACAGTAATTAAAAAGTTTTCAAAATCATTAATTGAACCACAACCACACACATTGTGTTTGTTGTATTAGTTTAACTATCTGAACATCTCTTAGTGCAGTTATCCGTAAGATGTGCTAAAGTTTACTAAGCCTCTGAATTAGAATCTGATACAATCTACAGAGTTTGTCGAGTTCAGCTAGATGCTTGCTTATACATAGCTTACTGATGCCCAAAGACAGCGCGAGTTGCACGCTATTCGACTGTTTTCATCG